CCTGCAATGAGCATCAGACTAGCCCATGAGGTCAGAATACACATGACATGGATAACCACTCAATCCCAATAATGAAATAATCGTCAGACAGACCCCCGCCTGTGGGGCGTTACTTGTGGTGAAACAAAGAAGTTTCAATCTGTCAAAGAGGGAGCATAACCCAGTTGGGAAGGAAAGGGCAGTGTTAAACGTCAACATTGGAAGAGCAATGATGTGCTTTGTTTGTTACATTTTATGATAACAATCTACAGTATTATTCAGGGAATGTGCTAACTCTGCATTTTCGCTTCTTGTTTTTAAGTTTCTTACATTGAAAGTTCTGAACGTTAATTTGAACCAGTGCTTTTAAATAGAAGGAAACTCATTTTGTTTTTTGGCTCCTAATTGAGCTGAAAAGAAACAAGACAGAATGCTGTTCCTGAGGGATTTTTGGAGTGAAAATATTTTATCTCAATGCCAGGGAGGATACAGAAAAAACACAGTATGAGGCAGATAGAGGCACAAGATTAATGGGGTCCAGTCCTGAATGAAAAAAGTGTTCGTAAATTTAATTTTCATCTGTTGCCAATGTACAATTGAAGGAAGGAAGGAAGGATCTTGCCATCAGATCAAAGTATGGCCCTCCTGTTGAATGAATTCTAGTCTCCTTCCCAAGAGTTTCCCTTTTTGGCCCTCGGGGTGTGTCCACCTGGCCCACTCTCATCTCTGAGTCAGAAGGTTGTGGGTTCAAGCACCATATTGGGACTTTAAACTCATAATCTAGGTTGGTGTGTAGGGATGAAAGCGCATTCTCTGATAGCGGTTCAGAGGGTGCGAGGGACGAGCAGGAGGCCGGTGCTAGTCGAGCAGTTGAGCAAGGAATTTAATTGCATATGTCCTCAGAGGCAAGTTTATGGAGTTCTACTGTGTGTAAAATGAATAACAGATCATCTGACCGCACTGTGGTAACTGCTGCTATTTTTAATACAGCAAGGCCCAAAGTGACAGATGGTGGATTGGGGAGTGAGGAGATCGGAGAGGTAGGGAGGTGCCAGGGAGTGAATGGATTTGAACACGAGTGTGACGATCTTGAAGTCGATCCATTCGGTGATGGGGAGCCAGTGGAGCCTGGCCAGAACTGGTGAGATGTGGGTACGGGTACCAGGTCAGTATGCGTCCTACAATCGGACGTGACGCTTTTAGCCACTATGCCCTGAAACTCTGGAACACTCTTCGTCAAACCTTCTGTCTTGCCCCCTCTCTCCCCTTTTTCAGGTCCTGCCTGAAGACCTTCCTCTTCGACCATGCTTAAGGCCACCTCCCTCAGCCCGCCCCGGCTCGGAGTCAGGCTCTGCCACTGTTAAGCTCTGAAACGCTACCCTGTATGGAGGGCGCTATATAAGTGCATGTCATTGTTGTTGTAGTTAAGGTCAAGATACATTGCAGTCTTTCTTCAGAAACTCTGACAATATTTGACTAAAGCAAAACAAAGCTGCAAAGTTAAGAGCATGCTGTTTACAGGTTTTATTATTTCAGGCACTTTCGTTAGGTTGTATGAATACACATAAAGTATATGGTTTACAGAACGGATATTGCTGAAGAACCAGGTCAAGGCAGTTTACTTCTTAAATGCTGAATGCGCACGAATTGTAAAACATTAGTCAAAATTGCAATGTTAGTCGGCACACTCCCTTCCTGTATACTCCACAATCCAATGCCTGTATGCTGAACAAGACCATTAAGCCAAGGTCAGTGATCCTGGTTTGATAACAAGGAATTTGATTTCATATGTTCTCAGAGGCAAATTTATGGAGTTCTACTGTGTGTAAAACGAATAACAGATCATCTGACCACACTGTGGTAACTGCTGCTGTTTTTAATACAGCAAGGCCCAAAGTGACAAACATGAGTCAAAATTGCAAGTGAAGATTTTTTTGGCACCCTGTTAATATCCATCATCTGCGAGTTTAAAATTGTTTCTACATATTGTTACTTGCTATAGACAACAACAACAACAATAACACATTGAACGCAAAACACACATTGAACAAAAAGAGAAGGGAGTTCCTGGCCACCAATCTCCCAAATAAAATTGGTCACTCAATCCATGGCTATTTGTGGGAAATTACTTTGTGCAAACTTGCTGCCACATTCCGCCCACAAAATGCACAATCACTCTACTTCACAGTGTGCCCTGTTAACTACTTTAAGACATCTCATGACGAAGGATCATGGACCCGAAACGTTGACCCACTTTCTTTTCTCCATAGATGCTACTTGACCTGCTGATTGTTCCCAGGGATCTCTGTTTTTGTTTCAGATTTCTGGCATCTGCAGTATTATGTGTTTTTTTAATATATAGTTTCTATTTCTGTTTCACTTTTTGGCTATCATACTTTTAGGTATATCCTGTTGACAAATGCAGCAGGGTTGTTTGAGAGCCTCAAGTCATATGCATAATCTTTTGTTGTGCTTAGTTTGATAAGCTTACCTTTCGTTATCACGTTTCAGAAAAGATACATATCATGTTGTACTGCAGCCCATTCTCAGTTCTCAAGCCCAAGTAACAGGTCTAACGCTTTACATTCAGCTATTGCTCAATACTAGTATAAAAATAAACAGAAATGGAGAGATAGGCAGATGCAATGCCGGTGTACTTCTGCATTTTGATATGACTGCCATAAAACCAACATTACACTTAATTTACCTGTCTTGAGAGATGCTGGCTTCAGATGCTGTTACAAACCAAGGGAACATGTATCAAGTGGTTTTAAGGAGATCACAAGAAACCAGAGATTAAATTATAGCATTTGCAATACAGTATGTTTAATTAAACGGGGAGCGGATTAAAATGTGAAGTGTGCTGTGATAATATCACATGTCACGTTTTTCAGCCTATATTGCAGTTTTAGCACAGTTTAAAGCAATTCCAGTTACCTTAAAAAGAGATACTGAAATTGTATTGATCGAAGACTGAGAGGGTTCTGTCGATTCATGATGTGGAACAATTTTCACATGATTCACAGAAGGGCAACACAACAGAAGTATGTTGTAAGCTTAAAATTCATTTGCAATGCTATTAAAAGCCAGCTAACAAACAAAATGCATTTATTTTGTAAGTTTCATGATCTCAGTCATCATCAATTGTTCATTTCTGCTTTCAAGTAAATGAACAATAAATATCGAGCATCAACTACATGCTACAAATGCACCAGTAAAGATTGCTCCGTTCTCCTTCAAGTTCAAGCATATCATCCTTAAGGTTCAGGTGCGTGCCACTGAACGCACCTGGCTGAAATCCAACCTAACAGTCTATTGGCAGATATGGCTGGACCTTATCAAATCCTTCCTCTCGACCCTTGTGTCTGCTAAATCATCCTTCTACTCCAAGACAATCTTGGAAACCAAGGACTACCCCAGGCTCCTCTCCTCCATCGCCAACCGGCTCCTCTGCCCACCCTTTTATGCCTCACCGATCCTCTCCTCCAATGCCAACTGCGAGAAGATGCTAGACTTCCTTGAAACCAAAGTTGAGGGGATCCGCTCAGCTGCCTCTGCCCTGCCGATCACTATCCTCTCCCCATCTCCCCCTCACACCCCGGTCCCCCTACCCATCCCTCCCTCCACACCTTCAAACCTGTTTCCCCCTCCTCTCTCATCACCATCATAACACACATGAAACTGACCACCTGCTTCCTCGACCCCATCCCTACCCCTCTCCTTACCTCCCAGCTCCACCTCCTTGCCTCCCTACTCACAGACATTATAAACCTCTCCTTGTCCTCTGGCACCATTCCCACCCCTCTAAAAATGTCCATCATCACTCCTATCCTTAAAAAACCCTCCCTGGACACATCTCTACTCTCAAACTACCACCCTATCTCCAACCTCCCTTTCATTTCCAAGGTTCTGGAAGGAGTTGTTGCTTCCCAGCTTCACTCCTTCCTCTCCCAGAGCTCCCTTCACATACACCTCCAATCAGGTTTTCATGCCTCCATCATTCTTCAGTACAGCTAGCCTTCTACTCTATCTTCTGTTTTGAACTTGTTAGAAATTTTAACTTAGAAAGAACCTTGACTTTCTGGAAGTCTCTAAGGATTAATTTAATCCACATAAATTCAGTCAGTCTTTTTATTTGCTATTACTCAGTAATTTATTGGGAAACTTATTTATTTATTGATGCTGAATATAGAGAATTAGGAAATGTGTGCAATGATGCTGTGTGTTAGAGCATTCGCCCACAGATCATACAGTATGATCATACAGATCATACTTTGAGACGTCACTTTGAGACTTGAAATGTGCTATGTATCAGATATAAAGGCTAATATTAGTATTATGTGTGGCTGAAAAAATAAACAGCAACAAAGAGGAAGACATTGGTTTGTGGGTGATAAATCTTTTTAAGATATACAATAAACTATTTTAAGCAGCATTGCCAGAAACTACTCAGTATATTGTGAGAATTAAGCACATTTTAGTGTGGTTTACAGCTCCCCAGATACGTATGTTTTTACTTTTCAGGTCACAATAATGACCTGATGTAAGTCTGAGGCCTTTAGCATCATTAGATATAGAATTTCATTCCTCTGGGAGTTCAACCAGTCCCTAATAAGCAGAGGTTTAGTTGCAATCAAATATGTATGTTGGTGGTGTCCTTTTTCTTTCTAAAAAAAAATCGCTTTCCCTTATTTGCAAAAAAAAACAGTCGGTTAACATATGTGATGTGTTTAGGTAAAATCTATTTTTAAACGTTCCCATTTGGGCGCCCTGATGTTTAGGTATAAATGACTCCAGCTGCTGGACTCCAGCTCACTTGAAACACATCATTCCCACGACCTCTCAGCGCTATTGCTCCCTGGGGGAGGGTCTGGGGTTAGCTTGGGACTGGATTCCGAATGCAGCATCTATCTCGAATTGCACGTTAAACACTTAACAATGTCACTTTTCTTTCCCACGGTTGCCAATCTGGATAAGCTTTTGCAACAATCAGAATATAAATAAAACGTCGGACTGCTCGCTCGCCTGATGTTAGGAGTTGGAACAAATTGCATCGGAATGTGTGGACTCTGCAACTTTGCGATTGCAAAAAGTGAGAAAAGGGAATCAATCCACTTCACGATTGTTCCTGGACAAAACCTCACCGGGAAACGCTGGGAACATCATTGAAAGCCATCTAAAACAAAACACTGGAAGGGATCATCTTCGTGGAAGGATGAAAGGTGTTTACAGGGCATCATTTGGGTATTTAATGATACGCAGTAGAGTAAGGGAATGGAATGTGAAGACCATAACTCTCCAGTGACTGGATCTGTTTCCGCTGGAAGCTGTGCTATACCGTGGGAGAATAGTTTACATCACAGGATAAATGGGGACCAGTTAACTCGGTCAAAAGGATATGAAAATACACTGCAGCATTCCTTGCAGACAGTTCCCTCTGAATTTGGCGCTGCTGCAGGACGACCAGACCCTTCCACTTGCTGGCCCAAACCTTCCTTCCAGGAGAGACACCAACCAGTTGGCTCGGGAAGGATGCTCTACTTTGTCCTCTCGGCTTTGCACCTCTGGTCCGGGCCAGTGGAGGGGAAGCTGCCGGTGCCTTCAGAAACGCTGTGCAGCAGCAACGCCTGTTACACCGTGCACTTGGAGAGAAAGCCCTTCCACAAAGCTCTGGAAAGTTGCAAGGCCAACGGGGGCAGCCTGGCAAGCTTGAAGAGTGCAGAAGAGGCCCTTCAGATAGAGGGTCTGCTGGCCAGCCTCCCCTCAGCTCCATCGGGGAACAAGAGCAAGTTTTGGATCGGGCTCCAGCTGCTGCCAAGACACTGTTACCAGCAGCACAAGCCGCTCAGGGGCTTCAGCTGGACAGTGGGAGGCGAGGAGTCCCAGTACTCCAACTGGCGCAGGGAGCCCCAGAGCACCTGCACTGCTCACAGATGTGTCTACATCAGCTACTACTCCAGTGGCACTCTGAATCAGGGAGACCTGAAATGGTCCGACAGTATTTGCTATGCCGGAGTGGAGGGCTACCTTTGCAAGTTCAGCTTTAAAGGGATGTGCCACAAGATCAGCCTGGGTGGCCCGGGTTCTGTAAACTATATTACTCCCTTCAACGCCAAGACTTCTTCGCTGGCTCTGGTACCATTTGGTTCAATGGCAACGGTGTCCTGTGAGAATGGGATCCCAAGCAGCTCGAACTTCGTTATGTGCATGGAAATGAGTCCCAAAGTGTATGACTGGCTGAAGGATGGTCCCTTCTGCACCCCTCCTCCTGCCTGTAACAGTGATAATGGGGGTTGTGCCCACATCTGTGTCAATGATGGACCCAATGGGGATTACCATTGCCAGTGCAGTGAGGGGCACCAGCTGGGGCAGGACCAACGCTCTTGCGTTCCAAGCGATCCCTGCCAAGACCACCCTTGTGAGTTCGGTTGTACCAGCCACTTGTCCGGCTTTGAATGCATCTGCCTGGTGGGCTACGAGCTGGCGGAGAACAAGAAAGATTGCGTGGATACCAATGAATGTGCCCATAGTCCTTGTGATCAACTGTGCTTCAATTCAGTGGGCAGCTTTTGGTGTGATTGCATTGGAGGTTACACCATGGTAAGTGGAGTGTGTCAAGATGTTGATGAATGCTCTGAACGTCCATGTAACCAGAGTTGTCAGAACACAGATGGTTCTTATCAATGTAACTGCAGACACGGCTATGCTACACATGGAGACGGCCATTCTTGCCTTGATATTAACGAATGCATAGAGCATCCCTGTGATGGTATGTGCTCCAACACTGAAGGAAGCTTTGAGTGCTCCTGCAATGCGGGCTACACGCTACATGAGGATAATGTGTCTTGTATCCCGGCGATGAACATCTTGCCCATTGCCACAGTCACTGAGGAAATCTCTGAAACTACAAGAGAAAGTTGGGATCTCGCCACCACAAAATACCAAATGGCTGGTTTCAGTGAATGGCACAGCCCTGTGGTTCGTGTTGTCTCCTCAGTGAGCAATACTGATTTGGAATTGAAAACCATTTCCACCATCGAGCCACAAAATCCACCAACTGGTGGAAATATCAGAGCTTCCAGTGAAGGAAATTGGTCACTGTCTACTATGGTAATGGTAACCCGAACACAGCCTACTGCTGTGGCGGTGGCTCCCAGCCAAATGATCAAAAATAAAGGGGAAGCATGGCTCCTGGCTTGTGTCTTGGGATCTGTGGCAGCTACTCTGCTCCTGGTTTGTGTGGTGGCTCTGGTATTATGCCGTCGCAAAAGGTCAGCCAAAGAGAAAAACACCAATGCTTCCAACTACTATAGCTGGATGCCAGCTGCTGGGTCATCCCCTCCGAGAGCTTTACGCAAATCAACATTAGTGGCCACCAGCACTTCGGCTGACAAACTCAATCACTTTGAGGAAAATCAGACTGAGGTGTAGACTTGAGACTGCAACAAAAGAGGATTGGATAATATTCCCAATATCCTGTGATATTTGTAAGCTTTGAAATTTTGGCACACTTTCAAGCCTTTGATAAGGCCGTTCAGCTTAACTCACATCTATTTCAATTTTGATCACAACCTTATCTATTTTTTTGAAGATGGGATCAAGCACATACAGATGAACACATTGTGAACCTGTAATGTTACTTATTAACTGCTGATCTAGTTTGAGGTGCTTGTGTTGAAGTGTTGCTTTCTGCCCACTTCTGTGATTTTATTGAGGGACATTGTTAGGCAGACAACACTCAGCGCTTCCTTGAACACAACACAAAGCTATAGTTAAAATAGCATGAAGTGTAAAATCAAGTTATGTTTTCAATACGGTACGATTTTGTATTTTGTTTCTGTAGTTAAAAAAGTAACCAGTTACAGCTTTATCAGTTGTAAACACTGTCTCGATGAGCACTGTCATTACTATAACAGAGACTAATAAATTCAATGGTACTTTGTAAACCTTGTGGCGTTGAATGCCCTAGATATCAAAACATAAATGTTCTACGTGAGCGGTGATTCCCTGTTCAGTGCCCATTGCAGAACAATAAGACCATCGACATCAACTCACAGATGCCAGTTATCCCATGTCAGATTATTTTGCTTCTAGGTTGCCCTATTTCTTTTTAAAAGTACACATGATTCGATGGACAAAATCCTTCCACACGTGCAGGTGTGTGTGCATGTGTGCATGCACCAGCTCCCATCAGACACATTTTGCAATTGTAGTAGGCATTTATGCTTCAAACAACCAACAATTATTTCTTGTAGTCTAGTGAAAGGGATGGGTGTTGGGTAATAATTTAAAAGAAAGATAATATTTGAAAAGCAAATGCTTGAAGACATACAGAGAAAATGGGGAGATGAGTTTGAAAGATCTGCCATGATCTAATAACCAGACTGAACTGATCCAATGGCTCCTCTGTTTTCTGTCAGTTAGAGGAACTGGCTCCACTTTGGCCCAGGCACAGGACCAACTATAGGAGGCAGGGAAGTAATGACTTGAATTGTTGAATAAGAAATACGTTGAAATTACTGTAAAGGCTTTCACATTTTCAACAATAATTACAAACTCTATCATCGTGACTATAAATCTCTGCAAGTTCTGCTAACATGAGTAATGTGTTTGTAAACTATATTAAATACACTTACTTTGCATATGCAGATTAGGTTACAATCTAAACTTTCCAATATGATTCATATGCAGTAAATATTTTCTGGCACAGACAAATTGTCTCAATTTTGGGTAAATCCAATTTAGAAAAATGTGGTATCCATCAATATTAACCCTTTCTTGTGTTACATTAGCCAAGCACCTTTCATTCAGTTTATACCTATTAGTATTTGAACTCACCTTAGCCTTGAGATCATTTTATCTTAAAATCTAAGATCACCAGAATTGTGGACAATCCCTAAATTCAGTTTGAATTTTAAAGATTTTTTAAGGACAGTGAAAAAATAGCTTCCAAATTAAGAATGAGTTAAGAATTTTCCACAATTCTGTGCAATCTTACATTTTAAAACAGAATATGCTTACTGACATAGACTAAATGAAGTTTCAGCCTGTTGCTTATTAACTAGCCTTTCTGTTAACCTTTTGATACATGTAAGAGCACTGTTTACATAAATTGGTTTATTCTGATGTGGAATGCTTGATCAATTGCTAAAACAATTTTGTCAAATACCTTACTGTTGGTTAGCTAATGATATAAAAATAAGCAAAAAGTCTCTATTTGATTTAATCCATGTTTGATTCTGAATTAGCTGATCCCAGCCATAATAATGATAGGGGCATGCAGATAGCCTCTGTATCTCTGGCTACAAAAGGAATCAAATGGAAAGGTTTCTACACTTAACTAGTATGAAATGTTATTTGCTGGGTGTTTTCTAATATCGAGTAAGAATTGTATTGGGCTTGACTTTGACACCCGAGCTTTACATGGCTTGTCATGGAAGAATGGTCATTTGGTTATGTGCCAACGTCCGTGGAACTGGAATTAGAATGAGTCATCACATTCAAGAGAAAGAATCAACATTTTTTAATCACAAGATTGTTTTGCATGAAGTTTGAAACGAAACCACGATTGAACCAACAATTCCATGTTAATTGTACAATCAGTGTAATCTTGTAATAAACATTTTCAAGATAGATTTGGGACTATCCAGAAGTCTGATTTTTTAACATTAGAAACGGATGGTTTATTGATCGTGATCTGATTCTCCTTAATTTGTCATTGTGAGTAAAATATTGAAACATTTTTTCAAACATGTTGGAAACTTTCAAATGAAACATTTGGCCAACAGTCCAACACACTGCGCTGTCATACACACAGACACACATGATAAAAGTGTGCCTCATTTGAGTTGGCTCAAATACAGAAGACTCAGGATAGATTAGGAATGGTCCGACAAGCGGAAAATATCATCCAAATGTAATATAATGAGATTAGGAAAAAATAATAAACACTGATGATGCAGTAAACAAAAGGAGGAATTTGGGATATTGGTGGGTAGATTGCTGAAACCATCAGAGCTGGGTGCTGCAACAGAAAAGAGAGAAAACACATTTGGGGTTGTATAGCTAAATTGAGGGAGACTAAATCACAGGAGGTGATACTGAACTTATGTAGAGCACTGATCTGGCCCCACCTGTGGAATACACACGATATTCGATGCTTACGGTCACATTCGCCTGCATGCAAAGAACAAGATGAATCTTCTTCCCTCCAGGACAACCAAACCACTTTCATTTATTTTTATTTATTTCACTTTTATCAACAATGTGATAAGGCACTGTAACAAATGCAAAGATTGTTGTTATTACTTTGCATAAACTTTGAAATGAGACGGATGGGGATAAAGATGTTTGGAGAAAAGCACATTTACCCAGAATTAAACTTGTGAAAATTAGAACTCTGAAACACAAACATACAATGTCCAAACCTTCCGAGATTTTCTTGTGTTACAAACAGAGAGTGGTGGGAGTGTGGAATTATGTTACTCAGTTGTTGGGGCAGCAACTATGTGCATATTCAAAAAAAAACTGGACACATGGTTGTGGGAGAATTAAGTTAAGGAGTGTGGGGAGAAAGTTGGAATATGGCACCAGAATGGGCTCTTGTGTGGAGTATAAACATCTGCTGAGTTGATAGGCCAAATGTCCTGTTCTTGAACTGTATCTTCCATGCACCTATAAAATGGGGGTGGGTCGGAGGTGGGCAGGGCCAATGTTTTGTGATATAGCTGATTTATGTCAAACAGATCATTGCTTTGTGTTGAGACATCAATACAACAGTTAGCACTTGAAGGGTACGTCGGTTTCTACAGCTAGAACAACTGTGTGTTTATCTCGGCTATATTTTCCGGTCTATATACATTTTGTAAATAAAGGTGCTTTGTGTAAAATTACAATCAACCGCCTTTTAAACTAACAAATGAAATACTCAGTCCCCCAAATTGAAGAAAGACAGGAAGTGGTTTGCATTTTGAGACATATTCACAAGAAAATTGGCAGTCAATCCAGTAAAATTATTGACTTAACGCTAGAGTAAAATGCACATGAGCAAACCACATGAAAAAAATGTTGATTCCCTGTTTGAATTTCAGGTATGAATTTGGCTTGGAGTGGTAGCTCAAAAGAGAAGGGGACAAACCACCATTCTATTGCTTCCAGGGGCAGTCATTTTATACTATACTCATAAGTGCACTTGTAGCAATGTAATTACAATAATACAGTTCACATACACCTACAAATACCAAATATAGTTTGTTTTAATTGGGAAGTTTCCTAAAAAATGTATGTTTAAATAACTGATTAAGGCTTGCAGGCAGATACAACTAGTGCACACATCAATTGAAATCAAGTGGATACTGAAATCATGAAAATACTTGAAAAAGTTGTACTGAGTATCATAATAATAATATAATAATCCTTGCATTTGAAATAGTCTTTTAGACGTCTCAAAGCGTTTCACTCAATATATTGTAAAGTGAATTGACTGAGCATCATAGCATAGGTTTCCAACTGCCACTCCAATAACACTTCTGACAAGGATAATTAGGGAAAGGTGAAGGTGTGGAATCAAGGCTATTGTCTGTGGATGATTTCACCCACAAGTATACGGTCAATTCACTTTACAGCATATTCTGTGAAGAGCTTTGAAACATCTAGAAGACGTGAAAAGCACTATATCAAATGCAAAGATTATTATTATTATGAATAGAGTAATTACTTTAATCATTAAACTTAATAACAGGCCTGTATTTTTACCAAGCCAAATATAGGTTTGATAATAAAAGAGACAAACAAATATTAAGGGAAGAATAATAGAATAGAAGGCAAACAACAAGAGAGATTGGAAAGAGTAACAAAATAGATTGGCAGCTAACGTAAAAGGAACTTCTAAGGCCTTTATAACTATTATAATAATAATTCTTACATTTGATATAGTACCTTAATACATCATGAGGTGACTCAAAGCACTTCACATAATATACTGTAAAGTGAATTGACTGTATATTTTGTGGGTGAAACATGGCAACCAATTGCGCACAGCAACATCCCACAAACAGTCGTGGATTGAGTAACCATATTTTTTTTGAGAGATTACTACCCCCGAAAAGTGATCTGACAACCAGGTTCCTACTTACTGATAGGTAAACAGAGTCAGGAAACTTGCCTAAGATTTTGTCCCACCCGGGAATTGAACTTGGGTCCTTTTGCTTGTGAGGCGAGTGCTCTAACCACTACGTTACAGGACTCCATATTACAGTAAAGAGGGTCATCAAAGAGGAATGTGAATACAGGAATTAGGGCAGTAAATTTATAGTTAAAAATGAAGGAGTGGCGCACTAGCTTAATAATTATTTTACCTCTGCTTTCATAAATGAGAGAATTTGCATTGCTTAGCAACATTAAAAGACGTCAACACACGTCACAGCAATTATTGTGAAATACAGTGACTAATTCTTGTAGGCAAATGCAACAACCATTTGCACTAGCAAAGATCAACCAACAGCTAACAGATGAACATGACTAATTAACCTGGAAGACTGTTGGCCAGAATATGGTGAAAAACTCCCTTGTCTTTTCAAATAGTGGCATTGGATCTAATGTCCACTTGCAAGAAGCAGAAGGTACTTCAGCTGCTTCTTTACCTTATCGTATTGGAATCCCGTAGTGTAGTGTCTAGCATGCTCGTAAGAGAACCCAGGTTTGATTCCCGGGCGGGGCAAAACCCAGTTATTAGTCGATTGGCAGATCACTTTCCAGGGGTCAAAAACCATCAAAAAATGTGGTCCCTCAATCCACGACTGTTTGTGAGACATTGCTCTGCCAAATGGCTGCTGCATTTTGCTTACAAAAATACAGTCAATTCACATTACAATATATTCTGTGAAGTGCTTTGAGACGTCTTGAAGACTTGATAAGGGGCTATATCAAATGCAAGGATTATTATTATTATAATATGTCTAAATAATCTGGCAGGAGTTTTGCCTATGTAAAAAAGAATTATGGCAAGGGAAACCATGAGGAGGAGAGCCGGGGATAACATTTCCTGTCAACAAGATGTTTCCTTCTGGGTGCATTCAAAGTATGAATCACTGAGTGTATACATCCCTGTAATTCGAAGGGCTCCAAGATGCTGTCCGGTGTGAATAAATGTAAATTGGTGTTCTTGATTGAAACTATCTCCTAATAGCCACATTGTCAATTAGCAGCTCTTGGAAGAGGATATCATAACTGGTGTAATAAAAAAAATCTTATAATTGATACAACACTTTATCACATCAAAATGTCTCACAGCACTTCATAGATTTCTGAACGTATTTGTAGGCAATTACATAGAACTGGACAGGAGGAAGCAGTCCCTTCAGCCCAATTCGTCCATGCCGAAATTATAATACATATGGGCCTCTTAAACCCCCATCCCACACCCCTTTATTCCCTTCCTTTATCTGGGAAAGAAGATTCCCATCTCCATGGAAGTCTCACGAATTGGCCTACACTGAGATTTTAAAGAATCAAGAGTAATGGTGTACTGTGAATATTTGTTTCTGATTTCTATGTTACTTTCTTCCAGACCCACAATATTACAACTAATGGCAAGGGAAATTCTAGTGAATAGAATAGAGACAACTGAACCGAGGCTGCATTAATGAGGTTTTGAAGCAGAATTTCTGAAAAAAAATATTGCTTGCCTGATTTGTGAGGTACTGGGCAAAATCTTTCCTCTGTTCTGTTCTGGCTTCATAATTAGATAAAAAATTGCTCTGATATTCTTTGTACTGCAAAACAGTATCATGGTTACGCCCAATACTGTAGAATTGGAGACTTTGGGAATCAGGGACACATACCACAATACCGTTTGATAGTGAAGTGGAAAGAAAGAAACTGCATGTGATGGGAATCTGAAAGAAAATGAAAAATGCTGGATTCAGGTCGGCCAGTGAAAGCTTACTGCACATTTATGCAAATTGGTTGCCGTATTCACCCACAAAACAGACAGTTACTGCCCTTTGCAGTATATCCTGTTTAGCGATTTGGCATATCCTAATGATGTGAAAAGTATTAAACCAAATGTAATGATTATTTTTATTATTATTATTTCATCTTAATAAAAAGCTTCATAAAAGCTTGACAGCAGGTTAACAACGTTCCTATTATATCAAGGATGCAGCATGAAGAAATAAAATAAAACATGTGGGAAAAGTTTTTAAAAAAAATTTACCAGCTGAAAGTCCATTTGCAGGTTGCAGGCTGCTGTTAATGAAAAACTTGGAAAAAACCTAGGAAAAAAACAAAATCAGATGGGGTCATTTGGAAGTGGACTGTGTGAAATTCCAATATAGCTCAGAGACCAAAATAAAATGAGAGAGAGAGAAAAAAACAACCACGAGGGACATTGTGGATAAACAGAGAGCAGACTTCTGAGATTTAATAACATTTATATTCAAGCCGAAAGGCAAAAGAGGCAGAAGAAATAGATCAAATACCACTTTTCAGGTTTGCAGTAGGTTTGTTGACCAGCTTAGGATAGAGAGACGAGAGTGGGAGGCGGAATTAAGATACAGAGCCATTGAACGGTTATGATGACTTCTATGGGCCAAATGGAGATGTTGAGCAAAGAGTGATAATAATA